TATAAAAGCAAATATTATTAGGAAGAAGCTGCTTATTACTTCTGGTACTAACTGTCTTCTGTGACTTACTGGTTTGTACACAGACAATATTATCTGACACAATATCCTCTTGGTGACTGAGACAAAACCCAGAGATTTAGGATATGGACATGCTTATTGCCATTAGGTATTCTGAGAGAAAAATAGGAGGTTTCAGGTAAAAACTAATCTGGGAAGAAGTTTGCCTGTGGGCAGAGTATCCTTTCATCTATAGAAAATGAGACCAGTTAGGTTTTGCTTAACATGGAACAAAAACCAAACCAAAGGGAACACAGGGGTCACTTGGCCATTTGAGCAAGGACATCATTTTCCCTTTGAGAATAAGCAACCTCTGCAAAGAAACAAGCTCAAAGTTGTAAAGAGATTTTATCTAGTGAGTATTGGCAAAACAGAACCTCCTTTCTCACCTCACATAATAAAAGTGATATCTGCAAAGTGTATTTTTTTTCAATACTTTTCCAAAAGGAAGTATCACTGAATAAATTAAATTACTGGGCCTTTGGACCAGGCAAAATAAAGTTTTGCTAATTACTTTCTATCATAATAAAAGACAAGACTGGAAATTGAAGAAAACTCCTGTGAGGTATTTACAGCAGTTCTTGAGATGTGAGTACTGCAGAACAGATTGCTGTGTGAAGGGTGTATCACCAGCAACAAGCATACACAGAAATGCATAAATTAAGAGAAAAACCACAAAATGTCATGTTATTTCATTGTTTAATTGAAAGTCTAAGATTTCTGCATAAGGAGGTTTTGCCCACAGGTGAATAATATGACTCCTTAACTATTTGGCTAACTGGGAATTTCTGGAGAACTGTACACAGGATAAATGGATGGTATGAAAGCTAGATATCTACTGACCTTTTCAGGTGTATAAATAACACATGCTTCATATTTTCAGTTGCCTTTGTGTTTTTTCCTTCTGGAGAACTAAAAGGTGGCAGAAATATCACCTTCTCAAAGCTGAATCTTTAGCAAATTCTGTTATGCACAGTTCCTGCCTAGGAAACCTCATAAGGCATTTGATATTTCCTCTTAATTTGTTAGTTATCAGCCCCTCACATCTTCCCTTTTTCCTTCTTCCAGTACTATTTATGTTTATTATTTCCCAATATTATTTATGTATTCCTTTTTCTTGTTTTCTTGGCTTCCAAAACCTCGAATCCTTGGAAAGAAGTGTTACTGATGGCATGCAACTGTGGGCAGTCAGCAGCTGACTGTCTTAAGTCCAAAGCAGCTTAAACAACCAGTGTTCTCCCTAAGGGAGCCTTTCACACATTTCTCACTGTACTGAGGGGATTATACAGTGGGATGCCAAAGTGGAAGTAAAGAATTAAGTGAGATATGAAAGGGAAGAGTCTTTCGGCAGCTCTCCTGAGTGCCTATGTCCTGGCAGATAAAGATATCCCTCTGCAACTGTGTTTACTGCACTTCTCGCATTGTGTTGCATTAAAGCAAAGTGCCATAGAGTTTTTCTGCAGGGAATATGGCATCTAAACTTGACTATACTAAGTAGTAAACAGCTGGGTATAAAAACCTAACTCTGTAGTTATAGAGTTGGGGATCAAGGCATAAATCTTTTGGCAATGTACAAGTTATGTACATTCCGTCTTGTGTTCTAAATGAAGACCCGAATTGTGGGACTAACAGCAATTTATTGCCGTTTAGTAGGATGTGTATAGAGTCTGTGTAACAACCAGTCGTGGTGGGTTATCCATGGCTAACAGCCAAACTCCCACCCAGCTGCTCGCTCACTTTTCTTCTCAGTTGTAAAAAATAGGAAAAACGGGAATGAGAAAACTTGTGGTTTGAAATAAACACTCTGTCTGATTACTAATTCCTGCTGTGGACAAAGCAGACTCAGGGAAAATTAACTCCTAAAAATGTAATTGCCAATTTGGATAGTGGGAAATGGAAAGACAAACATTAAAACAACACCTTTCCTGCCATCTTTCCCAAGCCCAACTTCATTCCTTCACTCTAGTCTCCAGCAGTTACAGTTGGTGAAGGGTGGTTCCTCTCCACTGCTCTGTCTTCCTCACACTCTTTGTCTGCTCTGGCACGGGTCCTCCATAGGTTGGAGGGGAATCTCTGCTCCAGTGTGGAGCACCTTCTCTTCCTCCTCCTCTTCTGACCTTGGTGCTCCCTCTGCTGCTTCTCACTCTTTTTGTTCCCTCCTCCTGCTCCAGCACTGTCTGCCCTTCCTTACACAGACTGTCCCCACGGTGCTGCCATCTCTGCCGTGGGGCTCAGCCATGCCCTGCGGTGGATGGGTTGGTTGGAGCCGGCTGGAATGGTCTGTGTCCATCATGGGGCAGCCCCGGCACCTGCACCTGCACCTGCTACACCGGCACAGTTAATCACCAAAATACCTTCTTTTACATGGACTTTTCAACCTTCCCTTGGAAATTGCGTCAGCAATGGGAGCAATAGAAATCAGCCATTGAGAAAAGCTCCCATTTGCTGGAAGGTTTTAAACTGGACTTGAGCTGCAATGAGGGTAGAAGTTTGAAAGACTGAGTGCAAACTGAGGGCTGCGGACAGGGTCTGTGGACTACACTAGCTAGAGCAGGCAGTTTTGGGGTGGACAGCTTACTCTTGGCTGAGCAACTGATCTCACTGGGCTTGGTCAGGTCTTGATTTTCAGGGTTGCTGGAAATTGACTGTTCCTTTTGACTTCAGCAGGATTTTAGCATCTTAGAGAAAGGTGCACATTTTTAGAAGAAGGGATTAGAAACGCTGATCCACCTGCACAATCAAACTGCCAAGCCACAAACCTCGCCCTTGGGAAGGCTTATCAAACCCCATGGGGCAAAGCACTCTTGAACCCCAGTGCAGAACTATGCAATTGCAACTGTGCTGTCTTCAGGCTGTAGTTTGGTTTTTGCACCAGCTCACCTGTTTTAACAATTGCTGATAAAGGCAATCCATAGTTCCTATAGGGGTCAGGGGAGAAATCTAACCATTTGTGCTCTCTCAGTTTCTTGGTGGTCATTTTCCCAATGTCTGGACTACAGACTAGACATTGGAGATTGCACATTTGTCTGTATAGGTTGTGCAGTTGTATTTTAAATAACCACTTTGATGAACATAAGTGATTTTGGTACAGATGATGTCCTACCTGATGATTACAGCAAGCATTTAGCTTTTTGTATGATTGAGTGTAATCTACAAAGTGTGTAAAAAGACTAGCTAAGTATTGCAAAAAGCTCATTAGGAATAAATACAATGATGAATGATTAATTTTTCCAGCTTAATTGTAAGAGAAGTTGCGTCTTTATATTCAGAAGATTTGTATATACTTAGCAGGGATAGAAAACTGACATAATGTAAACCCTTGTCCTCCACTTTTAGATTCACAGGAAAACATATCACATCCACTGGAACAAGGTTTATATTCTTTATTTTCCAAAATAGATAACAATCAGCATATGATTTTGCAATATTTCAAGCTAACTTGAGTAAAACCATGCAATTCAAGCATTTCTTTTTTGAAGTTTCCAAGTGAATTTAAAAAGAAAAATGCTTGCTACTTTGAGAATGGACCTGTTTCTCCTGTTCTTCAAGGCAGTGACTGAGATTAGGAAACAATAAATGACTGATTTTATATCACTTATTCAATTATATTAATTGTTTATGTTTCCAAAGCTTTCAGATATCTAATTGAAACATGGAGATGAGATCTGAACCATATTCTTCTCATCTCCCATGTCAAATGAGAAGAAAAGATTAAGGCTATCTATAGTTAAAAAAAAATATTTTGCCAAAAGAAGCTGAAAAAATAATGGCTTATAGTATATTAGAGTTTTGTTCTGATTATTGGAATTAGATAAAGTCTTGAATTAAATTAACTGATTCTCAGAAAGTTATAATCTCCTTGTAAGACAGCTTTTGCAGTAAAAACCTAGGGCAACAATCTCCATAATAATATATAAAAAATCACAAATTGTGAATGAAAAAAGTTACTGGAATATAAAAAGGCTCACTGAAATAAAATTAAAGATTGTCATTTTACGATGAAATATTGTCTGTTGGTAGCTCTATCTTGAGTAGATTTCACAGGTAATTGGAGGCATTCACCATGAACACTTTCATCTGCAGTGTGTTCCCATGTGGAAAGAGCTACTCCTAGGGCAGGACCTGTTGCTACTTCTTTCCAGAAACCACTGTCTAGACTGCTTGTTGCAATGACAGTTTTTGCAGCACAGAACCTGTGCAATATGAGAGTGTATTAAGACCGAGAACTCAGTTCACACAAGGCCATGCATGACCAGTAATCAGGGGGTACCAACCCGACCCAGCAGTGCAACAGCAAAGCTTTCTGAATTAACCTGTCAAAGACTCGGTTGTCCAAAACTCATGTGAGTCAGCTATTTGATTAAGGCAAGAATGGGTTGGCTGGGATAGGGAATGGTTAAGGGGCTGATGTTATCCTGAACTATGCTAAAAATAATAAAGCAGTATATAGTTACTGGTGTGCTCAGACTTTGCAAGTAGCCAGGTTGTATGAAGAGCATCATGCTACTTCACCAGGTAACTATATAACTAAGATCATTGCTGTACATTTCACAGATTAAATGCAAAAACAAAGTAAAGATATACAAAGAAATAGCAGCTTGCGAAAACGTATGATTATTTACATTGCCAGATGTACAGACAATTGAGATGCCAGTTTTCAGTCGTGTCGTTAAATGGATCAAATGCCATCCCATCTCTTTCTCAAGGCAACAACAAACCCATTATTTCTACAGAAATGCACAAAAGAATGTTGAGGATTGGCATATCTACTTCCAGTTCTCATCTATAAATTATCAACAGTAGTGTCTTGTGAGGCAGTGCTTCCATTTCATCTAGTAAAATCAGCTACTCAGATTATTTCATATGGTCCTTTTTTTTTTTTTTTTTTTTTTTTTTTTAATATTATTAGTTTTATTTAATTTTATATTTTTAATTGGTTTTGTTGGGCTTTTTTGTTCACTGATCTGAGATTGCATCAAACTGGCATGTTTACCTGTTGGAATTTTGGGTTGCCTTAGTTTCATGACTGGCATCTCACATCATAGCTTTTCTTCTAATTTTTCTAATAGCAAATAGTTGGCTGGTATATTCTCCATTTACATGGTTTTCACTGCAAGTCAATCTGATTTGCCCACAGAAGATAAATAGAAGTACTAAAATTATTTCATTTGTTTCTTGGGATCTTCATATTGGTAAAGCACTGGTTTTCCTCACTTTTGCCATGTTGTTTCACTTTCTCTGCTCACTTCAGGCTTTAGGAAGTGAAGAGTTTGTATTTCATCAACAGGCAGGGCAAACAGACCAAGCATTTACTGCTTCAAGTTAAATAGGAATATTCATCATTAACGTGACTTGTGGAGTCAACTTACTGATAGTATATTGAGCTGCTCCAAATAAGTGTGAGCTTCAGGCTACACTGGTCAATGAGACATAAAAATAGCACCAGTCACAGAACACATTTTCATGACTTAGTGAGGCTTTTTCCCGTCAGCAATTTGATTGAACGTTAAGAAGAAATGATTTAGGATTGCAGGTAGACTTGCAATCTTGCTGATATAAGAGCTACATTCAACCTTTCTCTCCCTAGATAAAATTAAATGGAAAACAGACTCCTATGCTGAGCAGGTAGGTAAAGAAAAACAAGAGCAAAAGAGGCAGGAAAACACACACACACACACACTCACACACACAATCGTGTCAACACTTTGTTAACATTGCAGCGTTTCCACGAGAAATGGGGCACTTTTACATTTCTACCTTTGTCAAACACAGTTCATTACTGCTTGTTTTGCCTCTGCCCCATGGAAACATTTTCCAGGTACATGTGTCCGAGTGGATCACATTCTTGCAATGACAAGTACCACTGTAACTACTGTGGACCTCAGCAGAAAATATAAAGTGCAAAATGTGAGTGAACACAGGAGTCAGTCTCTCTACTGCCCTGGTTTCCTTGTCCTTCTCTTGGAAGTCTTAGAGTGAGTCTTTTCTTCCTTGTTTGAAGGGGGATTAGTAGGAAATTGCAGTCCAAATCCATTAGGTCCATTTAGGAAGACACATTGAAAGTAGCGGACAGGAGCTAGGAAAACAAGGAAGAGATGGTTAATGGCTTCTAAACTGAGGCCATGAGTCTATTCCATGTTTGTTTAGAAAATAGCTGTATAGCTTCATTCCCACTGAGTTATAACAGCACAAATCTCTAGTGTGATTACAAGCCAGGTTCCACACATCAACAAGATTTTACCTGAAAGGCTCAGTGAGACATCTTTGTAGCACAGGATGAGAAATTGTTGACAATTTCACACTTAAATCTATTATTCCTCTAGTGTTATAGTCCTATTTCTCCCAGAATATTTGCATTTTGGGATAGCTGACTGGAAGTTCCCAAAATTTACACATTTTATATTTCACAGCCACTTTCAGATACATTGAGGAGTTCCAGAAGGACTCACATCTAATAGTGATAATGGCATATTTTATTAGGCTTCAAATGAGTTATCTTTTATTCTGAATAAAGGGATCATAAATGACAGTACTTCTTTCCTAGTCCTTCACAATCAGGGATGTTTTCTCCCTTTTGATTTTTGAGCACTAGCCTGTGTAGTTGCACTCATTTCCATTAGGTTTTACAAGTATTCAGGAACACATACTTTAGCACAGATGGAATTGGCCTAATTTGTTCCAAAAGCTGAGTTTTGCACTCTGAGATTAACATTGACAAGATTTTAAAAGATAACTAATAGTCAGTTATGTGTCTGGGAAAATGATTGTAGAGGAATGTCGGCACCTGAAACAAGATAGTTTTCATGCAATTAATTTTCTGACGACTTTTTCTTTCCTCTGCTGTTTATTCCTTATTAAAAAAAATTAGATGTTCCCTGAGGCAGTTCTAAACTGAGATGGACTCCATAACTCCCAGTGTTATAAACTGAGGTGGAGGGCTTATTTATTGACTGCCAAGTCACAGTAAATGGTGGAACACAGAGAGGTGTGTCAGAAATGCCGATATATTCAGTCCGGTTATATTATCCTCTATGGTCTTCTTGCCCAATTCATGCAAAGGTTAAGTCTTGCTATCTAAAAAACACACTTCAAAATGGAGTTGGAAATCAGCTCAGTCATCTGATTTACGGCTTTTCCACTAAATCTAAGAATGGAAACAATTCCCCCCCCCCAAAAAAAAAAAAAAAAAAAAAAAAAAAAAAAAATTCAGTATTTATGATGTTTTCTGTGGAACGAATTTGAGATTTCTTCAGAAAACAGAGAATAAGCAACTCTTATGACTGGAGTTCACGGCGTAAATATGACAGACCAAGGTTCCCCTGAGAGGCCTGACAAGCTACGGACTAGGTGTATGGTGTGGATGTGTTATGTCTTGTTGTCTTGTACCATTGGACATTTTACAGAGGCACTTGCGCAAGACAAGAAAGTTTCTGGGATATGTTATAGTTTCAACAAATAGACTTATTCCATCCTTGGAGTATAACCTTTGTGAGTAAAACTAGCTACAAGCAGTATATTGCCACAAAACCCTCTAGGTTTAAATGTAATGTTCTGCCAAATTACTCCATCAGAGATTTCCCAACCAGATCTTTAAAAAAACTCAAATCAAAACAGAAAGCCCAGTGGGTGCCAGTTTGATAAAGAGAAATACATTACAGGAAAAAAGCTGCCAATTAAAAACTCACCTTTTGCTGTTTAAATGGAAATTGTTTCTACATATTCCTCTTATAGATATAAAAGGTAAAACAAAAAAATCAGTAATTCTCTCTTCTTTATGAAGAAGCCAAGTATGGCATCATGCATTTTCTAGCCCCAATAAATGCCAATAAATAGTTTACTTAAGGGGAAAACCCCCCACAAACTACTCCTCTATGTTTTACATGCAGTCAGAAAGCAGAAAGTTAGCGCTTTACATACTTTCACAAAGTTCTGGTACATGCTATCTTATATAGCTACATAATCATTTAAAACATGGTTAAATATTGTAATGATTGTATGTCTGACACCACAGTGTTTTCCAGAGGTGTTATCTGATTGTCATTCTAAACCCACTAGTAGTACAGGCCACTGCAACAATTTAACTCGAAAATCTGATTTACAGTCTATTGTTAAAAGTCACTAAATGCATGGAGGGCAAGGGAAAGGGTGAACTTTCAGATTTTTGCAACTTGGCCAACAGCCAGAATCTAATTATATGGGATGTAACACTAAATTTGAAAAATAGGCAGAGAAAATAATTATTTTAAAAATAAAATCTAAAATGTATGTGTATTTGAAATGTGTAATGCTAAAGGATCACCTTGGTTGTTTGAAATGAGCCTTGTTGTCTGGCTACTATGTACTTATATGAAGTGCAACATTTTGAAGTGACATTCAATTGTTTATATACCCTGTTACTTATCATCAGTTTTCAGAAAATATCAGGAAAATGTAAGATAAAATAGAAACTCAGGAGAGTTAAGGATGGTTGTAATTACTTTTATTAAGTTTGCCTGCTACCTCCTTAGATAAGACTTTCAGGTTTTAGATGGTAGTCAAACTATTAAAAAAGGCCTTTTTTCCCCCCCATACGGTCTTTGTAGATTGCTTCGTATTAATTCTCCGAATGCAAAACCACTCATTTATAAAAGAAAAAATCTCATCAGTATGCCTTGATGGGACAGATCTTTTATATTTAATCTAAGCAAGCAACCAGAGTTTGAAGCAGACATATTGCAAATGTCTGTTGGATTGTTCTTTTTTTCAAATTATATTTTCTGGTAAATATCTCATATATTGTCTTTCTTCTTTATGGCTGATGAGATTCACACTTTTGTAAATGAGATAGTCTGTCTTTAGCATGTTCTAATCAAAACAAAGTCAGCCGCCCATACAGAAAATCTATGCAGGAGGACATGGTTTCAGATTTATGCTTTTTCCTATGTGCTTTTTCACTATTTTCCTTTCACATTGCCCTTCGGCTACTTTATCGAGCAAAGTTCAGCTGAAAAACATGCAGATAAGAACTTAATTCAAAAAATACCAACGTCTTTGGAACTGTGTCTCAAAGTCTGCAACAAGTATTACGATACAAGCCATAGTCAGGAGAACAATTTGAATTTTGGCATGCAAATAGGACTACAAATGTACCCCATTCTGCCTTTGTAATTCCCACATTCAATGTGAATACAAAATGTATCTTTTACACTGAAGAGGTTTCTCACTTGAATGTATCATCTCATCTTCAGGGCAAATGTTACCAAAAAAAAAAGATGAACAGTAGGAGTAAAAGACGTAGTTGAACAATAGATGTCTTGTCAGCTTAGCTGATACAAAAAAACTCCTCTTATCTGGCCTTATGCTTTTGTTTAGGGTGCAGTTTATGAGCATTCATGTAATTACTTAAATTTCCCTTCTGAGGGAAACTTATAATTACTTAAATTTCCCCTATGAGTACTACTGAGGAAACAAAAAAGAGTCAATACTGGAAAAGTGTAGAAATGTTTTTTTAAAGACATCTGACATATTTTAAATGATCTTTGTTCTTTTAAAATGATTTTTGCCTGGATGGAAATCAGTCTGGTGCAAGAACAACCAAGATGAGTTCCAGAAATCAGAAAAACAAGCAAACCGCCCTGAATTCAAGGTTTGTGTGAAGCTGCTTATGGCTGGTCAAGAGAAAATGCTAAGTACATTCCATAGATAGCAAATCAATTACATAAATATTACATGGAGCTTATGTGTGCTCTTGATCTCTTAAGTCACACGCACCTCACACAGAGAGTTGATTTCAAGAAATGTAAGTAATATTGCAACACCACTCTCCTGATGCTTTCAATTCTCCAGCAGAAAGGAGAAAAACAGTCTATCAAGGTCCCTCTGGATGGCAGCATGGCCCTCTCTGCATTAGCTATTCCCCCCAATACTGTGTCATCTGTAAACTTGCTGGGGGTACACACTGCCGCATCATCCAGATCACTAATGAAGATTATAAAAGGAACCAGGACTGATCCCTGGGTTACCCTGCTACTTATTGGCCTACAACTACACTTCCAACCGCATCACCCTCTGGCCCTGCCAGTTTAGCCATTTTCAATACACCTCATGGTTTGCTCATTTAGTCCGTACTTCATCAGCTTCTCTGTGAGTATCCTGTGGGAGACAGTGCCAATGACAAGGTAAACAATATCCACTGCTCTCCCCTGGTCTACCAAGCCAGTCATTTCATGATAGAGGGTTATCAGGTTGCTCAAGCATGACTTTCCCTTTGTGAACCCATGCTGACTATTCCTGATCAATTTCTTGTCCTTCATGTGTCTGTCAAGGGTTTCCAGGATTAGCTGCTCCATCACCTTCCCAGGGATTGAGGTGAGGCTGAACAGCCTGTAGTTCCCTGGGTCCTTCTTGACCTTTTTGAAGACAGGAGCAACACATGCTTTCTGCCAGTCTTCAGGCAACTCTCCCAGTTGCCATTATTGTTCAATGATTATTAATTTTTCTTTGAGGCTCTAGAAGGCAGATTACATACTATCAATTGTTAATTGTTCTCTTTAAGCTTATTGAATGGAAAAGATGACAGGTAAAAGACAACGAGCTGACTCAAGTCCCAATAAGGTATGAGAAACAAGAGAACAAATACTATCCCAAAGCCATCAGATTGTTGGAATAAACAGTGATTTTAGATACTTTTCCATTTTCACGTATAAGGCAAAGATACCAGCAGAGGTGATTTGACTGAGAACCAGCAGACACACTCACAGAAGTCCAAATCCATCCCAGAATCAGACCTAACTTTCAAAGCGTGTACATCTATTATATCCCCTACAGATACTGTTATGGTGACATCCACAAGTCCTTTACCATCCCAGATTTCTCTGTGTCTCACCCTTGGCAAAGGCAGTGAAGAGTTAAATCCAACTGTGTATGGCATAAATAATCAATTTACGTGAATCTGTATAGAATATTAACATCAATGTATGAGAAAGATTTACACTTGGGTTTGAATGTTGCTTAACAGGTGGTTGCAGTTTTTTGCCTTATGGTGGCTTACATTGGTTAACAGTCTATTTACTGTCTGGGCAGAAAGATTCACACTCA